CCCACTCTTACACGCACACACACCCCAAGGGCTCCAGAGGCCAGCCGGCGACCTGGTGTGTGTGCTAATGTGTGTGTGTGTGTGCCACAGTTAAAAGAGGAAGTGTACAGGAGCTGTGAAAACAGTTCAGGTCAACAGTTTGTACCCAGACAGATCGTCAAGAGGGAGAGAAAGAAACCGGAATCTGCAAATGTGAAGGATGAGGGATAAAAGGCTGAACGTTTCTTAAAAAATACTCTCTTTAAATAAGAATTCACCTGGTATGCCACATTTAGGTGGCTATTTCCAGTCACTATGATGTAAGTCGATGGTAGAAAATAGCTTTAAATGTTGTGTATTGGTGTAAATCCCTTAAAATCAAAGAGCGGTTACTTTCCAGTCGACATTTTGCACGTTCAACAAGAAGAAACACATGCTACAAGCAGCTGATGCTGTTTTCTGTAGAAATATATAGAGATGTGTACAACCACAGAAGCTTGATGTAGACCAGAATGCAAAGCAGCTGCAAGATATTGAGTAAAACTTTACAGGAAAACCTCAAGAGACAAATCTCCAAAATGCACGGTGTAGATAAAATAATGTCAACACCTCATGAAAAGGTCTTAACATCTGAAGTAGCTTAAGCTCAATGACAAACACAGCTACAGAGGTGGGGCGTGTGTTGGGGCTGAATGCTAATTAGCAGCATTTTTCATCTATAAAAGCAGTCTGGCAATCAGAGTTTTCAAAGCAACATGAAACAGCTAACAGAGCTGCAAAGAGGCCGAAGCATCTGTGCTCAATTTAGGCCGAGTTCACACAGAGAAACGTTAAGATGTGAGGTGCGTCGCAAGAAGGGGAGAGAGCGATGAGCTGCAACTGCCAGGAACGACAGGAAGACGGAGGCGAGTCTTGTGCGTCTTTGATGGCGGTTCGACAGGTATTTGACACTGCGGCCTCTGAGAATTTGAAGCGATTTCAAGATTTTCACCTTTGTTTGTGCGACGAAGAAAAAACGCAGTCGAGACGCACCTGCCCATTGAATCATGGGGAGTTAATAAAGCAAAGCAAAAGTTGTCTTTGTGTAAACAAAGCCTTAAAAACCAGAAGGAATCTTTTATTACATGATGAAGAACATCAGCAAACTGCATCAAGAAAGAGGAAGAATGTCGATATCGGACGATTCTGCAAATGTTTGTTCAAATAATTGTTCAATGACTACGTTCAGTCTCTGTAATACCTGCGTATGGCAACTTCGATATGGTTATGGTTGAGAAAAGAATGTGTTACAGTTAATAAAAAGGCACATTTTTATTTCAGGAACGAAAACACCACCCGGACCTCTTCAGCCTTACCTGTCATTTAAATCGTGACGGTGCGTAATCGTCCAATATGGACTCAGTTCTTGGGTTGAACAGCCGCTTTACTTCAAAATAGATGTCTTTTTTAATGGAATAATGAGGTGTTTCCATTATTTTGGGCACACGGTGGAAGACCAAAAGAAGAAATCAATGGGCAATGACAAATTATAGCTAAAAGCCAAAAACATTACTGTAAAGTTTACTACTTTTAAACAATTGTTAAATGTAAACACCAGGCAAAGAAGGTCAACGGGAAGGGCTGCATTATGGGAAGTGTAGGTGATTGACCTAAAATAAAAAACAGGACACATCTACCTCTGCAGCACTGATTTTGACCATGTATTATTTTTAAATCGGTCTCTTTTGAATCCCCAGAATGAATGGAATTACAATATTGACTCACTGGAGTACACCTTTAAGGCATTACAAACATGCTGAATGCATTTCTACCTCATAAAACCATGACAGTAGCAGCTATTAATCCTATGATCCATAGAAGAAAAAGATAAAAGATGAACAGATGTAAATGGCTTATAGTTCCAGCGCCACATCTACAGCTTCTGTACATATTTGGTTTATCTCAGAGCGACTTGCAGCAACCGAGCGGGTAGTTGGTTTCCATTTTAACAGCTGTTGGCGAATGAAGCAGTTTTTGATTTGATTGTATTAAATGTATCAAGGCTTCGCTGCGGGACCCTCAGCCACAAATTACACCGTAAACCAGAATCACTGCGAGGATAAACGCTGCAAAAGATGAAGCCGTGTTTGTGCGCACACACTCTCGCACTCCCACACCACTTCTGTGAGAGGTGTGTCTCAAACAGGAAATAAAGTACCTGCTAAAATTAGTCCCTGAACACACACTTAAATGTACGCTCAGGAGCTCTCTCTGTTGGTTTCCTGCAGTGTGACGGTTACAGTAGCTCTAAATCTTAATTCCCGGCAGAATAAAAAGGGAAAAAAAGAGAAAGGTTTGCCCTTATGTATAATTTTGTAAAAAAAAAAGCACTCAAAGAGAGAAAGAGAGAAGGAAACTTTCTCATATAAATGCGGGACCAAACTGTTTTACGGCACTTGATAGTACTGCTTCTTTGGCACTTATGTTTACATATGTTACCAGTGTGTGTGTGTGTGTGTGTGTGTGTGTGTGTGTGCTTCACAGTCATACATATCTCTTTCCCCAGGAGTAAACTGGGGTCAAACCAGTTAGTGTTGTCACGGCAATTTGCAGTTAGGCCTCTGCATGTTTGTTTGCTTTTCACGTTTTTTTTGTGCATTTTATGAATTTGGGGGTATGTGTACATGCATGTGTGTTTTTCCTGTATGTGTGTGTCCAACAGTGTGTGAATGATGCGTTTGTCTGCGAGTGTTGGTTCGTGAGCTGATATGTGCGTGTGTGTAACACAGTAAGCTGCCCTCGGGCTGATATATATTCTTTTCACTCAAACAGCCCATTTACAGTTCTGGGGTCGGCTCCCTCTCGCTCTGCCGTGACCCGGACCGTTTAGAGGTCAGCGTCAAAGCTGAACCCAGGTCAGCTCACTAACTGACTCCAGCTCCGGTCCTCTGGGGGTTTACTGACAGCCAGGCTGCCCAAACCGTGGGGCAGGGGCCCAGAATGGGCTGTAGGGCTTCTCCTGGTGGGTCCTAGAGTGGAAAAAGGGGCTTTCTGTATCCTCTGCAGCGGGGAGGTTTTGAAGCATTACAAGGCATTTTAAGCATCTTTGCTGTGTTTCTATGCTCCAGTTCCTCTAGACCAGCATCAACTGTCGCGTCCTCTTCCTTGGAGTTTCTGTAGATTAAAGTTGAGTTTCTGTCTTTTCCTTTTCAGCCAACGGAATGATGGCTCACGCAAATTACACATTTGGTTCTTATTCTTCTGTTTATTTCAGCCGAAGTGGAAACATTATACACCTGATCTCCTAGCAGACAGTGAGTGTTTACAATGGGAAAAGGAGCTTTCAAGAAATAGTTGGAGAACTGGAATTAAAATGAGAAAAAAATAGGTTATTCCCCTTATTAAATGCTAATTTCGGTCCTGGAAGTGTCCAGTTGTTCCCAAGCTGGGGCTTAATAAATCTAAGCGGTTGTAAAATAGTTACCAGACCAGGAAAAAAGATCTTTTTCAGTCCTCCAAAAAGTGTTTAAATAAAAAAATCTAGTTATCTAGTTAAAGTGGTCAAAACCTTCCGTGATGTGCATCCTGCAACAAGATGTAGAGGAGGGGTTAAAGTATCTCTTAACACTCAAATATACATTGTAGATTTATATTTGTGTCCCATATACACATTGTTTCAGGAGGCTATAGCTGAAACGAATGAACTGAGGCTGAAATTGATCAAATCCCTCAGGAAGCGCATCAAGATCTGTTTACATTCCTTCGCTCTGGTCCTTCTGGATGAGAAATTTCATTTACTGTACTTGAAGCCTGAGCTGCAAATGTTTTGAGAACCTTTGACCTCAACTCTTTATCTGTCTGCGTTAAAGCTGGACTCAGATCACATCCTAAAGGCATCCTAAATAGGTTTTCATTGAATTAACCTGGTGTATACGGGCTTCCTAAACATCTGCAGTCTGCAGGTTTACTTTTGCTCTGGGAGCCGAGATGATGGAAACATCAGTAACTTTTAGCATGTGGGGACTCACCAGAAATGGTCTGTTTGGGCCCCAAACCACAGAGAGAAAAAATACTTACTCAGAGCTTTTAGAGGTGAAGATCAAAGCTGGAGTGAAGGTCAGATCATAAAGGCTGTTTTAAATTAATAGCAAGCGTAAAAAACAGTTGTAAAAATCGCTGCGGAACTTAAACTTGAAAGGTTCGGGTCAGTTTTCGGTCCGGTTTTGCAAAATAACATCAGCATCGTTTCCTTAATGATGGTGATGGTGAGGTCGAGGAGAATGATGATGACGTTGGGGATCATCATTCAAGCAGGTGATGTGATATTATATATCTTACATACGTCAGCTTTTTGACCCCTCATTTGTTCATTCTCAAATTTCTGGCTGGTCCATTCCGGTTTTCCTGTGCCAAAGTCAAACAGAGCAGAACAGAGTGGAGATCAATGACAAGAACAATAAAATCAACTGGATGGACAGGAAAAGCATTTCTCTAACCTCAGCTAAACTGGGTGGAGTGTTTGGGGATTTCCTCGGAATAATGTTCTCTTCACACCTTTCTGCCATTCATCTCTACTGGTAGAGAAGGGAAATTCCACCTTTCAGCAAAATTCACATCATTTCCTTGACGGTCTCCTTCTGCCCAGACATCCTTTTAAAACCACCCCATAATTTTTCCTCACACTTTCTTCAGGCTTTCAATTTTTAATTATGCGTCTTTTTACATAAATATAAATCTTTATGAGGTGAATATGCAGAATTACATAAAACATTGAAAAAGCAGGTGATTGAAGCAGAGCTTTCTAATAATAGTTGATATTGGACTGATGTTTAATGGCTAAAAACTAGAAATCCACTCATGTGAAGCAACCTAAGTATTGATTAATAATCCTTCCACACTCTTTGTCCAATGAAAAGCTCTTAGAATCGTAACTCACGGACATCGTCGACACACGATGTCCCGTAATGAATTTGTGTTCTCGTTCACATTAGCAGAGCTCCAACATTAATCTGTATGTCTCCTCTCTGTCCCCCTTTGTCTAGGGTTCGGGCTTCCATGCGTCGCGGAGGCAGAAGTACGGCAACGTGTTCAAGACCCACCTGCTGGGCCGCCCTCTGATCCGGGTGACGGGCGCCGAGAATGTGCGCAAGGTGCTGATGGGCGAGCACACGCTGGTGACGGTGGACTGGCCTCAGAGCACCGCCACGCTGCTGGGACCCAACTCACTGGCCAACAGCATCGGAGACATCCACCGCAAGAGGAGGAAGGTCAGCATGCACACAAAGACATGAACACACATGCAGGCACATGTTGGAGGTGGGGATATGAGGGTGAGGAAGGGGGGAAAAACGGACACATGAGCCCCTTCTTTGAGCACTCCAGCTCATGAGTGTTCTGCGAACTTAAGTCATGCAGGCAATCCCACCTTGAAAATATGTAATATAACACCTCCTACAGTACAAGGTTCATATATGAATTAAAAGCAGCAACGTTAAAGGAATTTCCCACTGATCTTTTGATCCAAAACTCATCTCTGTAGCGTTAAAACGTGGCTCTGAAAATTTTGTATCTTGCTCCATCACTGTTAATGGCAGCCTGCATTTGCAGCACTTCAAATAGGCCGGCTACAGCATCAATAACGTTCATCAGGGAACTTGTAGAGAGACATTGTCTGCCTGTTTTCTTTGGTATTTTAAAGACAGCTCTGTAATAAATTTCATCGACGCCAACTGCTTTTATACTTTTGCATGTCGGAGTGAAAAGCACTCACAGTCCTGTGAGAGCCACGCTGGTAATCGCACAGAAACAGACTTCCGTATTATTTTGTACAAGAATTTAAGAACAGAATTCTCAGGGATAAACATGAGCATCAAATACCTCTTGTGTTCCACTTTTTAAATAGAGGCCGATCTAGATCTGAAAAAATGCCTTGCCATACCAGTTTCATGTCAAATGAACACATTCATTTAGATTAATTTTTTAAAAATGTGTTAAAAAAACAAATTACCGCAATTGAATTTGTCTGCTATGGTAACATTCTAGACAAAGTTAAATGAAATAATACTTGGAAATAAAACAATTGATGTCTAATGCCACCTTTAGATATTTCTATTCAATGCTTTACTGATGTGCCGCAATAATGGGATGTTTTTCAGTTAAAATATCTTAATTTGGTGGATTTTCAAAGCAAATATACTGGAAATTCATTCTGGAATGAGCAGCAGAGACAACACACACACACATTTGTCAAAGGCACTGGAGTCACTCGCTGCACAATGAGGAAGGTAGGACACACTCTTCCACACAAACAGAAAGAGAGAGTATCAGTGTAAAGCTATCCCGTCCTCTCGGCCTTATCTGCAGCGTTCTGGCTACTGAAGCGTGAGAACGACCCCTCCATCGCTCCATCCTTTCCCTCCACTCATCTGCATGGAGAGAGAGGGACTCCGCTCAATGCCCGCCCGCCCTCCTTTTTCTCATCTTCACTGCTTAATTTCTCCCTGATTCTGACCATTATATCTCTCTTTCTGTTCCTTTTTTTTCAGTCTTTCTTTTTCACCTTCTGTCTCTCCATACTTCCTCTCTCTCTCTTTTCTGTGCCAGGACCATTTCAGGTAATCAGCCACTTACCTCTCCCTCCCATTATGCCGTTATCCCTGGGGCACATACCTTCTCTCTCTCTCTCTCTCTCTCTCTCATTCATATACACACAGATAAACACACACAAAGGACCAGAACGAGAGGAACGAGGAGCAGGGTCTGGTGTGTTTTCCTGTAAGTCAGTCTCCAGTTTTCTCTCCCTGGATCCTCCGTGGAGGGGTAGAGGAAGGAGGGAGATTTTTTTTTTTTTGGAGGGGTTTTGGAGGCGGGGTCAGGTTTCGTTACCGCGGTGCCCCGGGACAGTGAAGGGTCGGCTGGGTCTAATCTGGGCTCTGATCCCCTCTCCTCTCCCTGGAGACCCCTGCACTAACCTCATGTAATGACCCCTGATTAGGGAGGCTGCCTCCAACACAGCACAAAGAGGGGCTTTCTGTGGTGGCCCCACACACACACACACACACACACACACACACACACACACACACACACGTATAACAGTACACGAAAGCATATGTGCACACACACCTGAACATTCCCCTGCTCTCGACCCAAACAGCCAGATACAGTGACGGAGGTCGGTACTGTTGCTTATAGTCATGGGTTTGAGCCCTGTGTTGCTGGGCAACCACACTGCTGAGGTGCCTTTGAGCAAGACAAGCAATCTCATACCTGCTGCCATTTTGTCCACGACCTCTGACCTTCCTGAAGAGGCAAAAGGGCAAAAAGGAAAGAGGTTTTCCCTACAGACATCAAGTAATGAAGCCTCATATTACAGTTTGATTTTGAAGTACCGTATTGGCTCCAATATAAGACCCCGCTCTTTTTCCATCACCTGTTTCTGGAAAAAGGCTTTTTGAAGATACAGCACACTTTCACACTAGTTTTGTCCAGGAAACTTTCCCTTGAGATGAATCCAAGGAGTAGAAAGTCCTCATTCTCTGCACCTTTTCTCTCAAAAAGTGAAACATTAAAACAGAATGTAAATAGATTTGAAAAGCTTTTCTATCGATCAGACACTCTCACTCTCCTGTCAGGCTCTTGGAAGTGGTCAAAAGATCACATGATTCAGTCTGTCCTTTTAGAGATGCCCCGAGAAACGTTAAACTGAGCTAGCAGCTCTCTTTATGGGAGATCAGCCTTTACATCCAGTTTTTGTTTTTTTGAAAGACAAAGAAGAAGAAAGGTCACTGTTAGAAAAGATGAACAGTCAAAGAAAAGAGTGCCAGCCACAGAAAACCTCAAAAAAGGAGGTGTGATCCCGCCCACACTGATTGATTGACAGGTGCAAAAGAGGGTCAACAAACAGAGACAGATAGAGAGAGAGAATGGCGAGGAGGGTAGAGAGGTCAGCTGGGCAGTTTTCGAGGCTTATGTAGGCGTGTATGTGTGTGTGTGTGTGTGGGTTGGCAGCACTCCCTCTTGTTTTCTGGGTAATAAAACTAAGTCAACAGACAGAAGCGAAACAACATCAACTGAGCGAAAGAATGAGAGACTGGCTTACTGTCTGACCCACTGGACCAGAACTGCTCCTCTGTGTGTGTGTGTGTCGGTCCTCCTTGTGGGTTTTTGTACGGAAAAACAATCTTCACACAGCACATTAGCCTTTGGTGGATCAACAGAGCCAGCCAGTTTCCATATAACCCCGTGTTAAGCTAGGAAACTAACTCCCTCAAAAGAGCCACAGCGGCCTGGTTTTCCACTACAGGCCAATCAGGGCCAAACGGGGCCAGCCAGGGCTTACACATCATCCTTGTCTGAAAACAACATTGAACATTATGTATTTCTGCTGCAAACAGACATAGTTTATGACTTTTGTCACCGTATCAGGTTTTCTGATGGGCTCGTGAGTTGGGCGTTGGACGTGTTTTGAGGTTTGGAACCAGTGTTTTCGCCCTTTGCCTGAAATTTGCAACAGAAGTTAGTCATAGCAAGTCTCCTATTGGCACCTAGGCAACCCTCAAGACTTTATTTCTATAGACAGATTTCTGGTTTGGTTGGGTTTGGTCTATGGTTTGTCAAGGCAATAATAGTCAGACAGGCAGGGCATGAGGGTTTTCTAATGAACTCTTGGACTGCTGAAACCTGCATGAACATGACAAAAGAATGCAAATTCAGGTATTGGGATCTGGTCCAACTGAAATCACATTCAGTCGTCCCAGAGTGCTGAGAGTGAACCGAAACAGTTGCAGAACCAGTATAATGGCCCACAGAGCTCAGGGGAACTTGCAAAGTTGGGTGTAGATTGTTTCACATGATTCATTGCTGATATAAAAATATTGATTATAGCAGCTTTAAAACTGAATGTCTCGTCTTAGTTATAAAATGTTCAACAATGTTCTTGCACACCAAGTCTTAATGGCAGGTGTGCACTCAAATTGTTGCTTAAAATGATCTAAACTCCTGTAAATAGATTCGATAAGGGGTTTGAAAGGTTCCGATTTGATGTGTTGACCTTGTGTGGGATCAAACTCAGGACCAGTTTGCTAAGAGGTGACAGAACTAACTTTAGTTTTCAGCAAAGTACATTTGACCTTTCATTCCCTCAGCTGTACACAACAAGCAAAATATATGATGATTAAGGACCCGTTCCTTACCTTGCCCCACCATATAAACATGCTGAGGTGGCCTCAGTAAGCCCTACCTAACCTGCAGTGGAAAAAATGTCCCTCTATACTGAAATAACACTGGGTGAATCCAAGTTAGGCCCATACACACACATGCAAATACACACTACTGTTGACAGTGGCAGCCAGTTCTTTATTTTCACCCTTCTGACATACCTCTCACTCTCTGTTCCTCCGCTATTTAAATTCCCTCATCCCACCTCTTTCTTTCTCTCTCTCGTTCCTTCCCTCTCCACATTTTCCTTCCCCCTTGTTTTTCTTGTTTTTGGAACCATCCCTCCATCCCTAAATTTAGGCAAAGGAGAAACACGGGCAGGGAAAACGGAGGGTGAGACAGATTGGACAGGAGTGAAAGAGACATGTGGAGGGATTTAAGTTGACCTCTGCCTCAATTTAAGTGTCACTTTTAACCTTTTCTCTCTGTATCCTTTACATGCAGTGCAATGCAATCCAACTTTCCTTTTCTCACTATGTGCTGTCCCTCATGTCTCTCACCCTCTCTCTCTCTCTCTCTCTCTGTGTGATGGTGAGTCTGTGCTCTTCTGCTCATCACCAGTAGAGGGCACTGCCAATTCTAACTGAGCTGAAGCCCATTATGTCCATCCTCTATTTGCTTTACTCAGTTCTGACTGAAGTCTCTGTACACTTCAGTTTTAAATTAAAACTAATGGGTGCAGTTCAGCTGACTTTTATATTCCCAATTCACCTGCTGCTCTTGTATTGGTTGAGAATATCCAGCAGTTCAAATACTACTCTTACCTTAAGTGGTAGTAAGAAATGTAAAAAAGTAAATGCATGTCCCCTCTCTAATATTATATTATTGGGATGTTATTATTGATGCCTTATGGTGTGAGCAGCATTTAATGTTGTAACTGGTTGAGGTAGATCAAATTATAACTCATTCAAATGCTGCTGCATTGTTTAATATATAGAGCATTTTATTAATTAAAAAATAATTTGCTGATCATATGTTATATGTTTAAAAACAGCAAAGAAACAAGTGAGTAAAGATGTCGAATAAATGCGGTGGAGTAAAAAGTACAATATTTTGCACGTAAAGGCTCATTCTGCTGAGTAACCAATGACTGCAGGGGCATTTAGTGGAGAAAAGAGTACAATATATTTCCATTTAATATACAATAGAGTAAAAGTCCCATAAAATCGATATACTCAAGAGCCAGTATTGCAAAATTATACTTTAATGCAGCCCTTACTTCCCTGCCCCTGACTTAAAAATACATGTTCCTCACACTTAAAGGTCCCGATGATACTGAAGATCTTAAGGAAATAGTTGTGGACGTAAATGAAGAAGAAGTTGTTGTGTTTTTTTTTTTTTTACTGCTCGTGTGATTGTAACATACTTTAGATAGAGATCATAATCTGTGGGACCTCTTTTGTAACATGAACTTCACCTGGCTGCCCTGAGCTCTACATCTAAAGCGCTTAAGCTCGCCAACAAAGCAATCCCTTTCTGATTGGAAGTGATGATAGAAGCAGGGGAAGACGTATGGACTGCTTGTTTGACTAGGAGGAAACGAGAGAAAAGGAATAAAAAGTATGTTAAAAAAAGGATGGATGAAGGGGCCGGGAGAGACGGGAAGAGGTGGGAGTAAAGAGAGAGAGAGAGAGAGAGAGAAGGAGGGCAGAGAGAAGAATAAAGGAGTCTTTACATGTCTGTGGAACCAGCAGCTCGCAGCACTTTCACATAATTTAAGACATATGGACGTTATTAGGACGACTGTGTCTCTCTCTCTGTGTGTGTGTGTGTGTCTGTGACTATATCAGTGTGTGTGTAGGAGTCTGGGAGTGTGTGTGTGTGTGTTTGTGTGTGTGTGTGTGTGTGTGTGTGTGTGTGTGTGTGTGACAGTGTGTGTCTTTAAGCCTGTCTTTGCGCTGCAGGCTACTGAAGACAGTCACGTTTTTGTGGTGCAGCAAAATGACTGTTGTACTGAACAACCCCCCCACCACCACCACCACCTCCGTCCTGTGTGGAACTTGGAACGTCCCAGAGTGACGCTGCATAAAAAACTGTGTTTGATTGGCAGCAAAGACCGTGTAGGGAGATACCATACACATGTGTGTCTGAGTATGTGTGTGTTTGTCTGACCTATAGTTACCTTTCAGAGTCTTGGCCTCCCGTCCGTCTGGGCACACACCCACACACACACACACACACACACACACACACACACACACACACACACACACACACACACACACACACACACACACACAATGACTGACTGAGTCACTGGTCCTACAGTAGCTCAACCCTGCTGTGTGTGTGTGTGTGTGTGTGTGTGTGTGTAGGAAGAGGCAAAGTACTCACCCAAATTGACCAATTATGCATAATGCAGCGCAGACGGGTTAAATAGCTTAATTCACAACGTTACACAACCTCCTTTGGCTTAACGAATATTTTGCCCAATCGCATTTGGGTCTCTCTTCTCATTTTTTTTTTTTTTTATCGTGCTGAAGATCCTGCTGATTCTGAAACATGTTTGCAGAAACCATTGTAGAATAGCTTATTGAATCAAATCAAACGACCAATTAACCAACCAATTACCATCCAATTTACTGATAAAGAAACCTGTAAACTGAACAAATGAGTGGGTAAATCTCTAACAGATGTTAAAAATAAACAAATGATTGAAAAACTGACCACATGACCACACAAGTAATTGACAAAATAACTCAATAAATGACTGTAATCAGTAATCAGTCAGATTATTTAATTGACAAGAGATTACTTGATGTAACCAACTAAATGTTTGACTAATTTAATGATAAACAAATGAGGCAGAAATAGACATCTATTTTTGGGTCAGTCTTCAGGAAGAAAGCGACTTTGTAGTAGCATCTAACCATAGCGACCTACATGGCACAATCAATGTAATTTTGAAAATACTGGAAGACCGTGTTGAGATGCATCATTCCTCCAAATGTCATCCAAATCCACCACATCCTCACACACCTAAAATGGATGAATGAACGGTGTCCAATCGATCACACGTTGTCATTAACAACCCCCAAACTAACTGAACCGACTGCCTAACAGACAAAAGAAAGGCCATGACAGCCTTGTGTTTCTCCTCAGACAGTTTTGAGGTCAGATAGTATGTAATCCCCTGTGGTCAGGGTTGGAGAGCAGGTCATGTAAACTGATCTGTGACCAGCAGCCTCAGGGTGCGGCAGCAGAGGAAATGTAGCGCTGCTAACGTCTCCAGGCGCTCTGTGATCTGCGCTAACCACTCCCTAACACACAAACAGCACATATACTGTATATACCCATACAGTGCGTACACGTAATTCACATGTGCACACTCTCGTGCACACAGCGGCAGCTCAGTGGACTATTGTTCATTCATTCTGAGGACGACGGAGGGAGGGAAGTGGGGTTTGGAGGAACGATGAGAAAGAGAGAAGGAAGAGGGCAACAGAGGAGAAAGAAAATGAGAGGAAAATGAGGTAGAGGACAAAATAAGTGTACAAGTGCCCAAACTGATGGTTTGGTGGCTGAAACATCGACCTCAGGAACCACATGTACCCTCGCTGGCCTGGGCTCAAATCCCACTAGAAGCTCCTTTCTTTCCTCTCAGCCTCCATTATGTCTCAATGAAAAGAAGCAGGAACACTTTGTCTTTATGTTACTTCAGTGTCAAATACACAGTAAAGTCATTTTCTTTGTGCATGATGTGCTTCAAATCCAGGAGAAGTTCAGTTCTAGTTCAATCACAGTAGAAGGAAAGTCGTAAAAAGAACCCACAGCGATAAAGTACATTAAGAAAAAACCACAAACAAGATGCAATTATGAGTTTGTGCAGGTTAGAAAATAAAGAAAAAGCTCATAAAAAACAACACAAAAAGTACTTTAAAATAAACAAAAAAAGGAAAGAATCTAATACAGTGAAACAAATCCAAATTCGATGTTCAACCCGCATCTTAACTAGCATTTCTAAAACGATCGTAAGGCTCTTAAAGTGATTTGAGAGGCTGATTGACCAGCCACTGATCATTAGACAGAAGTATTCATGTCTAATACAAAACTTGCTTGTCTAAATGTTCCAGTCTCATTTCATTGCGCAGAAAATGCAAAACATGTGTACGGTACCAGTCGCTGAGCTTGCTTGACAATGTGCTGCATTGCCTTCCTGCGATTACTGATTGAATAAAAGCTAATATTGTAACTTCTGTGAAACTTAATTTAAAGAATAAGACAGTCCTCTATGGTTTGAACACTGTAGTCTTTTAAACCCCATTGCTAAAAAGCTCAACCTTTAGCGCGGTAAAGGTTAAACGCCAACGAATGTTACTTATCCAAATAAAGCTAAGTGTTAGTGACTGATTCTTATTAATATAAAAACCCTATTCTCGTCCAATCCGCTCACTCTTCTCCTCTCCTCTCCAATGTTCTCCACTTCTAAATCACTTCCAAGACTGTTTTAAAGGCAGTTTTGGAGGTTAAATCAGATGGAATGTTATTTGTCCAAACAACACTGACGACTGGTGACTGATTCATACTCAGAAATACTACGAGCAGCCAGGAAAGACTTAACTCTCCCCCCTCTTCTCTCTTGCTCTTTCTGTCTGTCATTCTAGTTCTGCTGACTACAGCGGAAAACCTCCACAATGTATAAGTCACTTTAAAGAGGGAGGGGGGAGAAAGGGAGAGAGAGAATTTGGGGATGAAGAGGGAAATGGGCATCACTGAAAATGAATAAGAATGAATACATGATGGAAAGTCTTGTCTAGGTAATTCAAGAGAGAGAAGAAGGGGATTAATGGATAGAAAATGTTGCAGAGATATGACAGGAGAGAGAAAGAAGGCTAATATTAGAAAATTTGGATCCACTGTGCGAAATGTCAAATGAGTCAGACTCATGACCACTGAGTTAAAGCCACTTTTTATACTGCTGAAGTGCCATTCATAGGCGAAATACCATTACCTTTTGGAGGTTTGTCCATCCTTAAAATGGCCGTGTGTCAACTAATTTTGGTTGCAATTGCTCAGTTTATTCAAGAGTTATAAGAGTTGTTAGATCATGCCAGTTACAAGGATATAATACAAAAACATATACCTCTTGTTTTTGGTGTTATCCAAATACGTGCTGCACTAAATTTGATAAAGACGTTTCAAGTTTGTTGGAGTTGGTGAAAACAATTGCCTATATAGAAAGATATATGTTTGACCAAGCATACCTCACATTTTAGGAGTTATTTGCAAAAAGTTAGAGCGCTTTATAAATGGTCACATTGAAACCAAAAACGGATCAATTTGCCCCTTGCCTGAACTTTTCCACCAAATTATATGCGATTTGAGATACTGCAAACTGACAGGCGGACAAACAAATGGGACTGAAAAACCTCCTTGGTGGAGTTAGTGAATGTAAATATTATAGCAGAATAAACTTGTACTTCCATCTGTTCACACACCCTGTCAGTCAAGATTTGCCACGCTCAGAGGTTTCCTAAAGATATTCTGCTTGTGTGCGTGTTTGTACTCAGTGTAAAAGGGACGTATGGCATATACAGTCTGTTTGCTTAATCAGTGCTTTTGTCCCCTGCTTAGACTTGCACTGGTTCAAATGAATTTCTGAATGCTTTCTTCCTGTCTGCGTGCCAAGTCCTAATATTTATGGGCACTTAATGAAAATCCAGGTCTCTACAGAATGTGTCATGAACAGACGTGTGGAGTCACATTCTGCATTTTAAATGACACTATATGCCTCTTGCTCTGTCTCTCCAGGTGTTTGCCAAAGTGTTCAGCCACGAGGCCTTGGAGTCCTACCTTCCGAAAATCCAGCAGGTCATCCAGGAGAGCCTCCGGGTGTGGAGCTCCAACCCTGAGCCCATCAACGTCTACAGGTACAGCAAGGGTCCTAGAGAACAGAAATGCCATTGTTATTGTACCTTGAAATTGGGAATAGGATCCTCTGCAGGTAGATATGTCTTTATAGTATGTTTGAATATTGTACAAACAGTATTACAGGACATAGAAACACCATTACAGGACATGGAAACCTTACAATGGTAGAAACATCACAATTAGAAATGACATCCCTGCAAGAAGAAACATAACCTAAGGAAGTAAACCTAAATGACAATGAGGTAGAACGGTATTGTGTGCTGAAACATCACCGTTGTTCCAAGAAAGCATGAGAGCAGAGGTCATTATCAGTTGCTATCCATAGCATAAAGCTAAACACTATCAGCGAAATTTAATCTGCAACAGCTGTATAACACCAGTTCCTTTGCCAAGAATAAGTTGAGCCTGCTTGAAATTGCGGTGCAAGAACACTTACAAAGAAAGCGTATAAATGCAAGTGAGGAATTATCATTGGAATGCAACTGAGGTCCTGATTGGTTGTCTTTCCACAGGGAGAGCCAGAGGTTGTCGTTCACGATGGCGGTGAGAGTGCTGCTGGGATTCAGGGTGTCAGAGGAGGAGATGAGGCATCTGTTCTCAACCTTCCAGGACTTTGTTGACAACCTGTTCAGCCTGCCGATAGACCTGCCATTTAGCGGCTACAGGAAGGTATGTGTTGACATCCTCTACTCCTTTATTAGATGCTTTACTTACAGTAGTTAACCCCCCGGTGAATAATGAGTATCCTTAATTGTGCTTTCACCCTATTTTTTTACTTTACTTTCTATAACTGAGGCATTTTGTATGTCTTCAACATCACAAGAGGAACATAAACCTCAGCATCAATGTTTGGTTGCATAAAAATTATGAAAAAATTAAATGACTAATGTTGGCATCTTTTGGTGAAAATGTGTTAAAAGTAATAACCTCATTGTAGGATAGTGTTACAATTCCTTGTCTATGTGTTTGCAGGGTATCCGTGCACGAGACACCCTGCAGAAAAGCATAGAGAAGGCCATCAGGGAGAAGCCGCTGTGCTCCCAGGGGAAGGATTACAGCGATGCGCTGGACGTCCTGATGGAGAGTGCCAAAGAGAACGGCACCGAGCTCACCATGCAGGAACTGAAGGTAACACATCCGTAAACAGAAAATCACCCGAGTTGGAGGAGAGGGTGTGCAAACATGCGCTGGAGAGAAGCCAGACGCACAAGAAGCCACTCAATCAGACATGGGACCGTTAACACATACAGTACAGATACACACCAACTCTGATGCGTATGTGTTATAACATACACACAGTCTCACATGATGAACACACTCACTGTTTACATAGTAGAGTGCTGCCAAAGGGTACCTGTCTTGGCTGACTGAACACACACACACATACACATCAACAATTATCTTAATTTCTCCAACAAATCATCGCGGGGTCAAAAGCAATGAGAGTGACTTATGATACACATCTTTATGTAAAATATGACTGCAGGGATGCTAGGCTGATGCCCGACAGTAACAGTATAACACACACACACACACACACATACACTCATGGACAGACACACCCTCTATTTACCTATTAAAGTAATTCTGAGGAATTCTGTGGAAACTCAACTCTCTCTGCCTCTCTCTCGCTCTCTGTGGTTTCTGGGTTAAGTCCAGGGCCAAAAATAAGTCAACACTCCCCCTGCTAGGGGTCTGAAAGAGGCCTCCTGTACGCACACACATATATAAATACACACTCAAAGTGAACTGGGGAGGCCCTGTCGCAGAGGCCCAGGCTGAAGCACTCGCCTGCAGTTTTCTGACGCACGCATATATAACACACATAGGGTGAGGCAGAGATGTGTTTTGACACAGATGATGGCAGATGAGAGGTTTATAATGAGAGTCGTGCTGCCCAGCCTCAGTGTTATTTATTCCACTACCTTAATAATGGGCCCGACACAGTGTGTTAAATGTTGTTATTGGGTACGGACTTCATATTTCCAAACACGCTACTTTTCAGGAATTAAAAACAACATACTTTTATTATGCACTGGCTTTTTGGCATTTTTTTTGGCTCTGTGTCGTTACGAAACAAATGGCAAGCTTGAGGTGTGGGGTAGCGGATTTGTGCCCAAAGTAAGGTTGAAGCCCCAGGTTGAGTTTGCTCCCAATTTGGCTTAATAATTATTGACAAAAACGATTTCACATTTTGAAAAGAATAAATCGTAATTCCGATGACAACTATATAACATACATGGTGAGAAAATCAGTTTTCCTCAATCATAAATTCTGTATTTTGTATTTCTACCACCTTCAAAAAACGGTATCCATGGCTATGGTTTGGCATTTGGCTAATATCCACCTTCATCCTTCAGCACATAATACTACCATCTATATTTCCACTCTCCAGACCCTTTATTCAAGTGACAAGCAATTAGCCCATCAGAAGCTGAGGGAGAATTTAGTTGGCTTGCCCACAAAGTAAAGACAAATCAACTCATATGCCCTCAGTACAGTCCTGCACACAGTGTAAGTTTGTGCTCATGTTAAAATTACACTTTACTTTCCATATCAGTGACTGGCTTTTCCCAACTCCGGCTAAGTAGTGAATAGCTATAGTGAGTAGTAGGGAGATGTGTTTAGAGGCAGTATTTGGAAAGTGTCTAGTCTAACAAATTTTAAGAACCTGCACACTGATACACTATCTCGCCTCTCTGTCATCCCACAGGAGTCGACCATCGAACTGATCTTTGCTGCCTTCGCTACCACGGCCAGCGCCAGCACCTCACTCATCATGCAGCTCCTCCGCCACCCTGCCGTCCTGGAGCGCCTGAGGGAGGAGCTGAGAGCCAGGGGTCTCCTCCACAATGGCTGCCTCTGCCCCGAAGGAGAGCTGAGGCTGGACACCATTGTGAGCCTCAAGTACCTGGACTGTGTCATCAAGGAGGTGTTGAGACTCTTTACGCCCGTCTCAGGGGCCTACCGAACCGCCATGCAAACCTTCGAACTTGACGTGAGTAGGCCAGTAATGAGTACTGGTTTAAACTGCAATTTCTGTCTTTATTTTATGCAATGTGAGTTCTATTTAGAAGAAGAAGAACATAGTCTTATAATACAGGAGAATACCCAAAAAGTTAACTCTCAACAAAAAAATGCAATATCATTTCAAACAAATGGTTTAGTAAAGAGCAGTTAGAACATTGTCTTCAAAGATTTTTATGAAGAACTTTGAAAGTCTGGTCAAACTACAAGAAACTATTCCTAAAGACAAGGATTGATGGGCACTCGAGTATCTCATTCCTGTATTCATAGCTGGTATGAACATGAGAGAAGATAAGTTATACCTAAAATTTCAGAAAAGTCCTACATGCTTAGCCAGAGATACAAGACTGGATTTACATTCTTCCAAATCCCTTGCAGTCGCGATTGCACCCTTACAAATCAGCTCTCTTTCTGTCTCCAGGGAGTCCAGATTCCAAAGGGCTGGAGTGTGATGTACAGCATTCGGGACACCCACGACACCTCAGCTGTCTTCAAGGATGTGGATGCCTTTGATCCTGACCGCTTCAGTCAGGAGCGGGGAGAAGACAAAGAGGGACGCTTCCATTACCTGCCATTTGGCGGTGGTGTCCGGTCCTGCCTGGGCAAACAGCTTGCCACCCTCTTCCTTCGCATCCTGGCTATTGAGCTGGCCAGCACCAGCCGTTTTGAGCTGGCCAGCCGGCAGTTCCCCCGCGTGGTCACAGTACCGGTGGTCCACCCTGTCGACGGGCTGAAGGTCAAGTTCTACGGCTTGGACTCCAACCAGAATGAGATCATGGCCAAGTCGGAAGAGCTACTGGGAGCGACTGTTTGAAGGGCAGAGAGTTGATGAGTAGGGGGGTGAGTGATCGAAAAAGTCTTTAGGGAGAAGATTGAAGGAAGGAAAGAAAGAATTTCAGAGTTATTTTTTCTTCTCCACCTTTGCTCTGCCAAGTTGGAGGTTCCTTTTCAGACTAAAAGAAAAGCAGAAGTCTTCGTCTCTTGTTACAGCTGATGATGATCGGGACTTTCCTCTGAGAAAGGAAGAAGCTGCCAAAAAAGTTCTTAATTATGCTCTATTCTGTGTATTTTTTTAAAGAAATATACAAACAAAATGTATGTACAAAAAAAGCTATGTAATATAATTTGAAAGAGAATGTGGGTAGTGCACAATGGGAGAAAGAGAAGTATGGTGGTACTTTTGAGGAAATGAAGTGTTGAAATTAGAAAAGTAAAAGAAAAGACGGTTGTGGGAGGAAGGAAAGATGGATGAAACAGGGTATAGGATGAAAGAATATGATATTTTAGCATTTTGCTTATGCTTAATCAAATGCAGTGAACCATTTCAGTTGTCCAGCAGGGTAAAAGAGATGGATATATAGACTGAAAGTTGTAGATTTCCTGGTCAAAATGTGTGCATTTTTAGCCAGAATTCTTCACGGTGCCACCCAGTTTCAACTCATGTTTTCTGTTTATTTGAAAAAGATTTGAAAGAATGATAGAAATCAGTACTGGCTTTGTGTTTTCCATCAAAGGTCCATCAAGATTTGAATTGTTTACTAGCTTACAGATACAGTCAAAAGGATCATAGCACATTGCAGGTTGTGGCACAATTACACTGTGTTGCTGAACTCAGATTGGTGGTCCACCGTTTCTTCAAGTCGACTACATCATGATGCAGTAAATGATTTGACCGTCTTAAATTTATACTGCTAATGAGGGTCAAGTATCAATTCAGGAAGTGAAGGGCTGTGCTTAGAAATGTTCTGACGGGAAAATATACTGGCTGCACACTGGGGCAGAAAACATAACATTTTGAATCTATGTAAATGGGCAATTTGTTCAATATATTATGACCTTTCCTGCTGTTTTTTCACAAAGCTGCCTCTAAACTTTATGATCCTCACTGATTAAACACAACAGTTGCCATATGTCTTCCATCCATGCATTGTACAATAGAGAAAGCTTTAGAGAACATAAAGAGTAAGAATTGCAGAGCTTTTATTTGAGTAAAAGAGGAGTGGAATTAAAATTACGGTTTAGAAGACAGGAAAACAGGAGTTTTTAGATTAAGTAACTGTTCAGGATACTCCTTAAGGAAGTATATCCTTGCTGAATGATTAATAACATCAGGATAGCTTTCACATTCTTCAAACTTAAATGAGTCCTCTTTCTTCCAAAATACAAACTCTAAAAAGGATTTAGAGGCTATGTCATCCTACTGTGTCTTAACATCTTTATCTCTAGTGAAAACTTTGCATTACTCTCTTGCATTACCCACGTTGCCCACCAACATTGGCTCAAAATGTTGCTTATATAGCATATCCCAGTAATCTTGGTGGTGTGTGAACTCAGGTGCAGAGTAGACATTGTGGTGAATAATGAATAAGCCTTTACTTTTTTGACACTTAACTCTGACTGACTGCACATAAATAATGTCACTTACTCGCTGTTGTAGTTTCAGAGCTGGACTGATTACTTTTGTAAAAGCTGCCATTGCTTTGCTTTCTGTCCACATAAACAAAAAGATATCAGGGGTTTCCAATAGCGCTCTCAGTTTACTTCTGCAACCATTTTGTATCCCCCCAAGCAAGCAATTTTGGTGTTGCAAGCAGGATCAACCTACAGGAATTCCCAATTGGCATCACACGAGATAAAAGTTACTGAATCGAGGTCAATCAGTAATGAGGTCCAGGTCTGCTTTGTAAACCCTCTGAACCTGTGCTTTGATACATTAACTACACTTTCAAGCTGCATTGAGATCGTACTCTCTCGAACGGTGACTTTATCCCGCAACGAGGATACGAAAAAGAAATCACTCTCATGAAGTGTTGCACCTTCCTGAGCTGGACTAGTAGAAAAGACAGAGGGATAGGTGGAGGTGGAGAGGAGAAGACCTACATACATGCTGCTTGAGTGTTGCTTTGTCATTCTGTGTTTGTTTATTTGTGTGCTGTTTTAATTTTTACCGTCTCCTTGGGGCAGCCATTTTGAGTTCTGTGGAGAAGGTGACATTCTGTCTTGCTGCTCCTCCAATCAACGCTAAGAATGCAAAACAATATAAATTCCATGGTTTAAGCAACTTTATTAGCTAAAAGAGATTTATTGTTTGAGGTGATTGCACAATCAGAACTCTCAGAGCTTTGTGTGTTCCATAATTGGAGAAGAAGATTTGTTTTTCTTATTTACCATATATGGAGAGCTTCTGCAACGGAACTCTGGGACGTGTTAGCAGAACTCTTGGACATTCTAGAATCCTTGACCACGGTTCTAAGTTCCAAACCCGAAACTTGAGAGAGAAGGACCAATGAGGTTTCAGGGGAGGGCAGGATCATGCTCAGAGGGCTTTTTTTTTTTATTGGACGATCCTGTTGTCCAATAGCATTCCAGATGGATTCTGCCTGTGCTAGACATTGTTCACTCTTTCTACCAACCACACCACTGATTTCTTCATGTTAAAAAAATATAAAAATATAATTTTTTTGCTGCTTTTCTTGTGTACATTTTCTAATTGAGAGTTCTAGATTGCAATAGTTTGTATCGAGTGAGATTTGCTATTTCTTTCCCCTTTTATATATATATATATATATATATATACACACACATATGTATATATATATAATGTAGCTGATTAAAATTATTGCATTTTGTGAAAGCAAAAAGAGCATTAATAGGTTATAGTGTATATTAATTTGTACAATATTCCTTTCTTTAGCAAGCCATGGGAAAAAATCAGCTATTTACGTCTACTAATAACCTAATATTAATGTTATTGTACGATTAATATTGTTGTTATAAGATATTTGAAATGCTATTTTTTATTCTATTACAGATTTAGAGTTTTTAGCCTAAATGAGAAGATCTTTGGTAAATATTGGATGTATTTAGAATGTTATGTATTTCAGTTATATTGTAAACAGTGTTTAAAATGTTAATATTGTTGATTTGATTACTGTAATAATTATTATTTGTTTTGTTATTCAGACTTATTATCACTGCATTTTATTGATATTAATTATGGAAAACAGAAAGCACTTGCGAGGTATGTCTATTTTTTAAGTGCCATGCGACTACACTTCCCCCTCCTGTCACCTGTTGGTTTCTCTGAACCTGTCTTATGTCAATCTGTACATAATATTTGTATTTCTTTTTACAGGAAAAAAATGTTCATTTAGTTTAAATATGAATGTCTTGTTCTACTTTCTTCCATTCCTTTTTGTTACCGTGATTGTTAAATGTACTCCTGTAATAAACTATAAAGTAAAAAGATATCGGAATAGTGAATTTTGTACTCTCCTCTTCTTCTAGCTAGCTATAAAATGGTTAGAAAAATGAAACAAAACTGGCATAGCTACATCTGTAAATCGGCTTGACAATAGAAGATTGATTCAAATAGCACCACCAACATGGATTCTAAACTCAGCATCATCATGTGTCATGGCTTTTGACACTGTATTCTGATAAGATACCAATATCAGCTATCCAAACCCCTTCCAGAATCATTAAAGCATGCATCAATATTAAACTGTGAAAGAAACTCTGTGTGCCTTTACAAACCACATGATATAAGCTCACAAACACAAATAAAAATAAAAAAAGTGTATGCACATTCAGCATGCAAATCAAACAGGTGGAAGGCAGCCTGCCTATGCTAACAAGCTCGGAGTACTGAAAGCACTAACATGTAAATCAGAATGGTCAGAAAGCTGGGAACAAGTACCAGGTGCTTTCCATCAGTTTAAATAAACTGTTATTAGCAGTAAACTCTGCAGAGACGCGGCACTCCATCAACAGCATTTCTTTTAATACACCCACCTGCTAAGGTTGTAAGTTTAAATATTAATTCCAGTAATATCTGCTCATGACAACCACGAGGTATGGTTACAGTTATGCAGCTAAAACAATATTGACGTGTCAACGTTAACATTATTGATTTATTTAAAAAAAAAAAAAAGCACTGTTAATTTCTGAGTCTGGTTTCTGATGCTCAAGTGGAACATTATATATCCCTCATACATGTGACATTTACAACCTCACCTTCTGTACAGTATTTCCGACTTTGGCAGTGATGATAAATCCTTCAGAAAGGTTCCAAATGTGCACATTCCCAAGGAAGGCTGAGCTGATAGCTGATGAACATACTAATTCCAAGCAACGGCCTATAACTCTCACAGAGACTTTGATTCAAAGCTCCCAAAGATGTAATGTAAAGACTAAATGTTTAGATTGAGTGGATACCTACAGTAATCCCAGCAGTACTGTGCCTAAACTACTCATTTACAGACAAATGAACAGATTAACTTCTGCACTTATGAGGACAGGTGCATCAGAAAAGCCACCATAGGAAAAATAATGAAGATCCTGCACACTATTCAAGTGTCCCAACCTGCTGGTCTATAAACTGACAGGTTAATCCCTCTTAATATAGGGAATGTCATTTGATTAATACCCAGAAATGACTATGGAATTACCCCTTATATGGAGGACGGTGTGACACGTCACCTAACTGTATGTGAGCGTCCGACCAACGAGTCATATTGGATGCTTTTGGTCCACACTGAATCCGTTTGCGGGTTCTGTTGTCATGTGAACAAACCAGTATGTAGTCATATCAGAGTGGAAACATAACCAGGGCCACTTTTAAAAGCTGGTTGTGTACCCATTTGTACTTTTTAAACGGAAAACACCCCTTTGCTGGAAATGACATAAAATATATCGAACAGCAAGTACAATGTTATTAGCAAATACCAGAAAGCATCGCATTCATGCAGCTCGTTCACTAATCTTAGTTCTCAACATTACTCTGGAGTTTGCTCCCTCAACCACCCCCAACCTCCTCCTTCTGCTGAGCTTTCAGTATTGTTGACGTTACTAAGATTTAATGTTCATATTTGTTAGGTGGAGAGATTCATTTGTTTGTTGTAAATGAAACTAAATGGTAAACTGTTCTGTAATGTCTTGTGTGAATGTTAACCACTGTTTAGTATTGAACTCTTCAAAATGAGTCTAACAATGGGACTGAGCCTCGTCATGTGGGGAACACACAGAAACTGGTGGTCTGGTTTAGACTCTCAGCACACTGACTGACTGATGTCTCAATGCCTCCATATCTGTTTTTATTTCCCAGCCAGCAGATCACTGCGGTTTGTGAACATCAAGAACAAACAGGCTGTGATGTTTGCCGGGAGTTTTCTTTTAGCTTGATGGAAGACAGAAACATAGACGGAGAACGAGAGAACGCTATTACAATGAGCACAGATGTAAAAAAAAAAAAAAAAAAGAAAATCTACACACACTTCAAAGACGCGGTCTGAGACGAACACACACATAGCCACGGATAAAGAGATACACATAAAATACAACATAATATGACAAAATATGAAGGAAACGCTGGCTTAACAATGTGGACACAGTACAGTACTTACAGTACTCGTTAATGCACACACACACAAACACACACGCAGCTTGTTAGAAGAACAAGGAGTTCGATTCTGTTTGTTTGTAGTTTTGCCGCCAGGAGAGACTGTTTGCCACACTAAGTACTACAAGATGAACCACTTCAAGGGAGCCGAGTGTGTATGTGTTTGCGTGTGTTCCTCCATCTCCTGTTGGTGTTTGTGTGTGTGTCTGTGTGTGTGTGTGTGTGTGTGTGGACGAGATGTCATGGTTTTCATGAGTAGATGGAAATTCTGTGATCAGTTGCCTCTTTGTAGCCTTTGAACTGTTTTAATATATTCTGTATTTTCCTGTCTGTTGAACAAGTGTGCTGTATTGGTGAAATGTGTAGTTAGAGTAAACAGACAAGTTATTCACTTGATGACATGCTTCAAATAGTTCAACTTATTAAAGTTAACTTATTAAAATTAAAAAAAGACCACTTTCATCACCACACTAGAAGAGAAAACGTATTTTGGGAGGTTACCCTCCAAAATAAGATCCCATTTCTTTAAAACACTTAAACAGAACTCAAGCACCGCACTTTTAAGATAAAACGGAAATTAGCTCAAAATTTTTGTACGACAGCCTGAAAACTTCAAAATGACTTAAATGCATACACCTGAATCTTCATACATACACAACTAAATAGGTTATCCTTCGACAACGAGGTCAATAACACAATTTGGTTACGTTAAGGCAGCTAGAACCACTCGGCTTAAGGAAATATTACCTTTATGATTAAAGGAAATTCCAGTTTCAAACTGGTTTATTTCCCATAAATGGTCGCTGTGACTCATACTAACTTTGTACTTGTCACATCCGTTGTAGTGATTTAGAGAAACAAGAACTCAAAAACAAGGAAATACAGGCAAGCTGTGAGCCTCCAGTTTTTCTAAATAAACACGACTTTTACATAAATCATTTCAAACTTCTGAGTTTGACCAAAAGTAGGAACGTCATGTCACTTTGGATTTAAATATGTCCAGTTTTGATGTATTTTGTAAGTCTTTTTGGAAAGAGACGTTTCTGTCCTCACTCTGTGAAGTAAAAAAAAGAGGGAACAAAGAAAAGCAAAAGGAAGAAAAGACAAACATAAAGTGACAGAGGACTGGAGGAAGAGGAGAAAGCAGAGAATCTGAGAGTCCTCTCAGCTGTGACTCTCATCTCGTCCGAAGGATTAAACCAGAGTTATTATCCAGCGGACTAGATGCAGAAGCACACAGCCGAACCCTCAGCTGCAGGTACGAGGGATCATGAGAAATACTGAGAACAGACAATAACTAATCAGTACGCAGACTGAGTCAACAGAATCAGACTGCTGTGGGAGCAGAAGTGTGACGGTCCATCTGAGGACAGGATGATTCTGTAAAGATAAAAGAGAGGAAAATCAAAGAAGGGGAACTAAATAATGTTAATCACAAACTTTATGCAGGACGCTGATTCAATCCAAATCCTCTCTGAACAGTTGGATTCTTGAAACTTTTAGAATATACATAGAGAAGCATGCAGAAGTTGAATGAAAATATCTCATTCTAAACTTTTAGATGCACTGTAACACTTTTGTTTTTCTCCATTTATTACTTCGTAGCTCCGATTGCTGCCTGTTATGCCCTGTTTTTACTTAAGCAATGCTAGTGTAGTACAGTTTGTCCACCACTCAGGCTCACTTTGGTTTGAAATATCTCAACAACTGTTTGATGGATTATCCCCTGACTTTTCCACTAGGGCAACCCAGATGTTAAAGCTACATTTTTGGGTTTTTAGTAAAATATTCCACCACATATTTGATGGATTTAAATTAAATTTGATACAGACATTCATACACCCCCCCGGATGAAACTGTATTAAGTTTGGTGACTACATGACTTTTTATAAAGTGCCACAATCAGGTCAAATAACTGCACTGAACTTAATGCTGCACTCAACTAATGTCATTCCCATCAGCCTCGCTTGTATTTTCTATTTAATTTCTATTTAAAATTTCATGATTATGTTGTGTGTGTTGTATGTATGTATGTATGTATGTATGTATGTATGTATGTATGTGAGGCTATGTTCAGACTGTGGCAACACATTTCCTGGATCTAAATAGCATAAAGCACTGTAATATAACTCAAAGAGAGGTCTCACACAGTTGCTAGCATCTATGGCCTTGTTTAAAATATTAAACCTTTGACATGTCTTCTAGTTGTTTTAGGGAAAAAACACCTATATGCTATAGTATACTGACAGAACTGTCAACTGTAAAGTTGCTGTGTATGCTTGTATTGTATTTGACACAATGACAAAGAAATGTATTGGACAACATTCAGTTTATATTTGACTGGTGTGATGGTGTTCAGTAAAGACTGAAGAGACTAAGTAGTAGCTTAGTGACTGTATTATGAAGAGTAGGTGTGAGCCAGCAGACAGGCTGTGTGTGTCAGGGTTGGTATGCTGAAGTGCAGGAAAGAATTCACGGAGGTTTGAGGATGTGTCAGCAGTTCTAATCGTTTATGTGGGGGCCGGGGCAAAACTACTGTTATTGAAGTGACATGTCGAGGGAAAATTATTTTGGATGTCATCTAGTTTCATTTTTTCATCTCAGTGCAAACACTGTTTCCCGTAAGAGAACCCGAGTGGTTTTTCATCAGAAAGGAAAGTGTGTCTGCAGCCGGAAGCAGCAGAAACTATTGGCACCGAAATCTCGCATGAATCGGAGAATTAATTATACTTTAATTAAATATCAAAATCAAAGCTGGTGTGTGGAGGGTTTGGGGACAGTGGTTAAATGTCCTTAAAATCATCTGGGGATTATAAAGTTTTAAAGAAATCATGTACATACATGCACC